AATTTTAACTTGTTTATTTTTATTTTTAAACTTGTTGTTAAATAAAATTTTTTAAATTCCAATAAGTTCATAAAAATTTTTTTTTTTTGTTTTTATGGTTAGTTTTCAAACAAATTCCTTTCAAAAAACAATACACCAATTATCTAGTTTAAAAATAATCGTATATTTATTAATATACATATAAGTTTAATGCTATTCCATGAATGAATTCATTTACCAAAGCATTTAGGGATTATTTATAATACAATCAAATAATTTAGTCTCTCAAAATATAAAGTATAAAAATCTAAAACTATATTATAAAAAATTGCAATAGAATACCTATAATAATATTAAAAAAGTGTTACCGTTTACGTTTATTATAGAAATTTAATGGATTCGATTTAGTTCTTTGACAGAAACTAAACAATGATCTCAGATGATAAAAAATAATATAATAAAAATAAAATGTCAGTCCATACCTGTCGAATGATTCATTTTGAGCTTCTATATTCGAATATTGAGCCTACTTATTGTACCATGTCGAAAAATAAGTGCATCAACTCAAAAATAATTAATTTGAAAGAAGCTATGAGAGAAACTGCTTCCAAATAACAAATGATTAAAATCAATTAATATGAGCTGTGGGAAAAAATGGGTAATTTTCAACCCATAAGGAAATGGCCTTTTTAGTTGATACTGTTTTGTTGCAAAGATTCAATATGTACGATGATTAAATCCGTATATGGTATAACAAGTACTTGTGTGTAGGCCTTATGTACAATTGGATTTTAATTTTTTCCATTTTTGTTTCTTTGTATTTATTTTTGAAAACAAAAACTTTTTTATATTTTTTTTCAAATGGACTTTATGTAGCAAATGAATAAATCTTAATTTAATTTTTTTTTTTCTCTCTCCCTCTCACTCTTTCTAGATTTTTTAAATAAAACAAAATACAATAACTATCAAAGAAAATTTGTTTTAGTTCTCATGGAAAATTTTAATATCAAAAATATTTTGTATAGTTTCGGAAAATTTTTTAAAATTTAATCTACAAAAAAATTTTATTAAATAAAATTTTTAAAAATATGCAAAATTTTCTTTTTCTATTACCTAAATTGCTACAATCGAGAAATCTGCTTAACTCAATAACAAATGAAAAGTAGCTTAAGATTTAAAATTTTCAAAATTTCTTTCAAAAAATTTTTCATTATCTTTAATATCAATTGTTTTAAGCTAAGGATTATAAAATGTATTTGAAAACTCAAGTCTTTTGAAGACTGGAAAAGAGCACTTTCTATAGAAGATTAAAAGAAGACGAGTGTCGAACTGGCCACTATTTGGTTGCTAAGAAAAAATTACAAAATTAGAAATATTTCTGCCTCCAGATTTTAAGTAAATATTTATTCTATAGTTATATACTCGTATACACAGCTGATATGTTGACATGTAAAATGTAGCTAAATTTTATGACTACATTTTTAATTGACCTTGTGAGATTCCTCATATGGGCATGACACACAAAATATTTCTGACAATACTGTGGTAACGTTGAAAATTTAGTTAAATGCTATGACAGTTTCTGCAACAGAATATATTGGTTTACTATTGTCACTGTAATGTTCGTGTAGCAATAACGTAAACCATTGCCGCGATAGCTAAGATATATGCTGACTTTTCTATATATAAAATCTGGAAAGAGAATGTTTCAGTTTTCTCGTGACTGAAGTAAATGATTGCATAAACAATAAATTTTTATGCTACATCGGCAGTAATGGCTCTTAGTTACGAACACAACTTGTATTTTTTAACAGCTAATATAAAAGAAAATAGCAACCAATGTTAGAACTTCAGTGCAATAAAATCAGGCGGAAAATGTTATTTTTTCGCAACTATCCCGATTTTTAACAGTTTATATCACTAGGAATATGCAAAGCTATGGCAGATATAGTAATGTAATTTTTTTTAGTGTTATTGAATGAAAAAATTGCCCATTTTATCGTTAGTGTTATACACTTAAGTATAACATTATTATTTGTATGTATAAATAAATTCACATACAAATAAATATTCCAAACTAACTTTACCTAGCTAGTCTTATTCTCAATTAAAAATCAAATTATTTTTTATTAAATTTTTAAATAATAAAATGCAACAAACTACATTACCCCTTAATTTATGCAATATTGACATATTTATTATTGTGGTTAACCATAATGATTAAATTTTTTTTTTATTTAATAGCTATAATTTCAAGTGTTTAATTACATTATAGCTGTCCTTTTTTTAAAATATTAAAATGTTTGTGTTAAAATATATAAAAAAAAACAAGCAATTTAAAATAATCCTGAATGCAGATTATCTTAATAATAAAATTATTAATATCGAAATACGAATTTTATCCTAAATTTATGCAAAAATAATATAATTTATTAATATTTAAGTAAAATATGATTGTAAGGTTTTAAAATGCAAATATTATGTACTTTGATTTCATTTTATAAAATTTTATATAATCTAGCCTTGGCTATTTGAATTAAATTTATTAAATAAAATAAAAATATGAAATTATAATCTGCTCAACAATTAAAAAAAAAAATATGAGCATTATAAAAATTTATTAAAGGCAAATAAAAGAAAAAAAGATTTGAAATTAAATCACTTTAATAAAAATGGTAGCCTAGCCTCGTTTGTAATTAATCAAAAAAATTTTTATGAAAAATCAAAAATTAAATGCAATATTTATTTAAAATTTAAATCAAATATTTAATTAATTTTAATTAATTTTTCAATGATATGTTCAAACATAATAATATTTTAAATTTCAGCGTATTAAAATTATTTAAATAAAATAAGCTCCTTCCTTCGATTCTTCTCGCTAAAACTCAAACTCTCATAAAATTCCTCTTTTTCCCTGTATTAAACTCGGATATCCGCATAGATTGCTCGACAAAGTCTTTGCTTTCCCATAATGCATTTACGAAGTATACTAACACCTGGTTAGACGATAAACAGTGTATGGGCCATCTTATTTAAGAAATAATACCAAATATGAGTACCAAATACTGATAAGATTCATTTCACTCAATTCTAATGGGGGCAGCGTCATCACATTATTCTTCTACAATCTTAAATTTTTAATTTTTTAAAATCTCAAGGTAATAAAAATTATTTTGAACTTATTATCAATGTTTTAATAAAAATCAAAACTTAAAAGAATTGTAAAAAATTACCGAACAAATGAATTTTTTAATTAAAAATATAAATTATATTCTTAGAATTTTATGATATTGCTCAAAATGCACATAACAAAAACATTATACAAGAAAAAAATCATTTTGAAAATTGAAATATAAATATAATATTTTCATTAATAATTTAATTATTAAAAAAAGCCTCCAACCTTATGCTATGCCTTAAGTAATATTAATAAAATATAGATGGCGATATAAATTGTTGAATATAACATACAAATTTTTACCGTAATATGTTCATATAAATTATGTATCTTTAATTTTGCCTTGAAAGCATTTGTATGTAAGTTTGTAGAAGTTTAAGAATTTTAATTTGAGAGATTGAATTTCAGTTGTCTTAAAATTTTATTATTGACCACATTTTACACATCGGATGCATTATGGTATTTCCAAAAATAAATAAGAAAATGGAAACTGTTACCGTATTACGATTAGTAAGCTTTTGTTTGAAGATATATGGAAGCGTTGAATTCGTATATAATGCTGTTACACTACAATGGCGCTGCGGGACCTAAGAATAGTAAAAATCGACTCATTGGAATTGCAGTTGGAGTAAAGTTATTTCAAAAAATTGGCCTGTTAAATGGTCTTTCACCGGTTTATACTGGAATTCCAGCAGTATCCGAGAACCGGGGTGGCGGGGGCGAATATTTTCCGTTTTATTCATGACATTGAAAGTGAAAACAGCCAGCCGAACAGCCAGTACCGGACAGTCGCAGTGAATGTGCACGGCGGTCTCATCGCCACCCCCACAAAATTTGCACAAGGGGGAGCCCGACTTCCCCAGCGTATGCTGGGGGTACTTCACTGGGCAGTGCCACGTGAAGAAATTCGCAATAGTGCGAACTCGGCTCCTGCTCATCTCCAGCAACTCTGCGGTAAATCCGCTGGAGTACGCCGAAAGAAACACTTTCGCATGACGGCACCCTTTCGTGTCCCGCCAGTGACGGTTGCATTCAGCCGCGAGCAGGCAGGCTCGCATTTTGTTTAGTCTTATAGTGTGTACAAGTAACGATATTTAAAAATTACAAAAATAATTACAATTTATTGATGTACACATAATCACCAACAGATGTCGTAAATTACTTTATATTAAGGCTTTTTCTCTTCTGTTTCTTGGGGAACATATTCATAAATATTTCTATGATAAAATGCTAAAAGCATTCAAAGAATTATCTTAAAAATATTGTACCTACCCCTATAAAAAGATTTTACAAAAAAAATTTATCAAACAAAAACAAATATAAATAAAAAAAAAAAATTAAATGTCAAAATCATTCATTTGTATGATTGATATGACGCTCTGAGGCGTTTGTTGCTCTCTGATTTTTTATTGTTGTTTTAATTTTTATTTCAGTCTTATTATTAAAACCAGAAGAGCAAGCGAGAGAGAGAGAGAGAGAAATTACATAAAAATAACTTGCAATATATCCATTTATTTATATGCGTGTGTGTATATATGAATATCAACATCAGTATACATTAAACTTAACATCCGGCCTGTAAACTATAACGAAAAGTATATTTGTATGTAACACTGTACAATACCCATTGTTTTATCAAAGTAAATAATTCTCAGGATATTTTTCTTTACGCAAATATAAACAATTCATATGACATTAAAAATATTAATTTTATATGTGTATAGGCAATAAATTCCAAAAATAATAAAATTTTATAAATTTTGTCAAAAAATATAAAAAAAAAAAACAGCAACAATTTTTATTCTGTGTTGCATATACAATAATTTATAATTTTGTTACTTACTCTTGGTTTCCTAGCATGGGATCCTGTACGAACATCACGAATTGTTGCAATATCTAATAAATCCATTTCATTATTTTGATCTGTCCATACTAAAAAGAAACCTTTTGGATCAACTTTCATTGTAACTGGTGTATCAGAAACCTGTAATAAATTAGAAGGGCAAAAAAAAAAAGATTTATATGAATGTGGAAATTTTTTTGAAAAAAAAAAAAACAATAAAAAAATTAATAAATAAAATAAAGAATTTTTGTAATAAAAAATAAATGAAAATTCCATCAGATGGAATAAGCCATTTTATTTAAATTTTAATACTAAAGAAATTATTCTGAAATGAAAATTTCCTAAATTGACCAAATTCATGGAAGGATTTCTGAGTGAAATTTGGGAACAACAAGATATATTTTCATAGATAGGTAGCATAACGGAAAAACCTCGCATATATGACAGTTGGATCCAAAACGTTATCGCACTTTCAACAAAGAATTTGCCTATTCCACGACCCGAAACGTTTATCAGTGTGTTAAAACGGTATTCGTTAAAGTATGAGAATTTTCTCCTACGGAGTAACAAGAACATGATACAGCCTGTTAATACAGAAACTGATACAGCCGATGCTCCAAGGTTTCCCTTGGAAATTGCAATTTTTTGGGAGACACTGTTAACTATAACCAAATCATAGCTGCTTGCACACCGTTTAAGCAGTTTCCTTCGAGCATTATGTCGGCGATCATAACAGACTGTGAGTGAGCGATTAAAATAATAGAATAGTTCTTTGGTTTTTATGGTGGATTCCCACTCAATTAGGACAAATTTATTCAACAGTCAATTAGATTTAACAAAAAAAATTATTTTTGTTAAAAACTTAATTTATGTATAAAAATTAAATGTATTTTTTTTATTGCATAAAAAACATTATACAGACGTCCGGGCGTTGTATAAAAAACACGCTTTAGAGTATTATAAAAGCTCACCTCGCAAACTCGACAGGTCGACAGGTTCGTCCATCTCTTTTAGGTAGGTTTAAACTCCCGTCGATTAGCGCGATTAATTATTAATAAAAATTTAACAATTAAAATAGAAATTTTGAAAATGGAAGGAAGTAATATAAAAATGGTGAATTGTGAAATTTATGTAGAGAGAACCTATACATTAAATAACAAGGGAGGAATGACTAAGCTTTCAAGTATCTATATTATAAAAATTAATTTTCATCAAATCAATATCCTTACAAATTCATTATATAGAGTATTAGATATGTCGAATAATATACAATTAAAATTAAACAAGGATGACATACTATGATAGCAAATTGATTGATTTCGTAAACATAAACATAATCTTTTCATTTTTCTTCCTGTTTGTCTTTTTTGATTATGATTAATTTTCATGTGAAAATGCTCAGCGATTTTCAATATCTATAAAAATAAAATATCATCATTAAGTGAATTGAAAATATTAAAGTTAAGTAATTTTTAATAACTATCATAAATTTAAGAAAATTTTAATCATTTCTCTTATGCTTTAAAATTTTTTGGAAGCAAAGCAGTACAAAATCGCTGTTAAAATAAATTGATTTGGGAAAAATCTGTTAATCAGGCAAATTCAGACAGCTGACCTTTTGTTGGGTCGAAGCCCTTTTACGAAATCGGATAACATACTGTTCGTTGGAAACAAAAAAAGGAATTAGAGCGAAGGCGGTCGGAGCATTGGAGAAGTCTTCCGAGATTATGACCAGAAGCGATTTAAAAAGATTATCGGGATGAGCAAGAACCAAGTGAATTTTCAACGAGATCTTGTTGAGTTACTGTAAATTAAGGAGGCAACTCAGTAGGCTATATCAAACTCTGAGGGTAAATTCTTATTCCACCTTCTGGAGCTTATGTTGCTATCAATCGCAAAAGCGAAATACGAGAGGATTTTGCTCTAAGGAGGGCGAAGATGCAATTTTCCAGATTTTACAAAACGATGGATCTTGAACGTTGACCGTAGGGACATATTACGCACTCAAAAAGGAGGATGACCCTAAATCCTTATAAGAAACCGCGGTGCATTATTACCCCGGTTGAACAAATTTAGTAACCGTAATCCGCGAATTGTAAAATCAATCCGCCGATCGTCAATATGTTCAAAGTACTGAATGCTTTACACTTCATTTCAAAAAACCCTTTGTACTGCATATTTTATCTTTATAGCTTACAGCCTGTAAGTTGAGTAAGAGTAAAATGAAGTGTAAATTTTCGTAAATTATTTGAACATTCACAATAATTTTTCGATTTCCAGTATTATCATATAATTTTCTACTCTCTCTCCACTCACTCTCTCTATCCCCCTATTCCACTATTCATCTCTTTCCCTCTTTTCTTCAATATTGTCTCGATTTTTCGAATTCTAATAAAAACTTTTTTCATATTTATTATTTTTTTTTTTTCGCGGAATATTCTCGGATCAATATAATTTCCAAAATTTAAATTTTAAAAAAATACTAGGAAGGAGGAAACCATAATAGAAAACTTCATATTTTTAATTAGTAAAAAGGACAATTTCGATAATTAAAATTGATGAAATTTTAGAAAATTAAAAATCTTATTTTATTCATATTTTGCATTCGCACGTGCATTCCAATTTTCTAATAATTAATCAATTGAATTTCAAATTAAAAAGGATTCAATAAATTTTTAATATCCCTTCATGTCCTTTTTCAAAAAATTTTCTCTCATTTTAAATATTTTTTATATTCTCACATCCTTCAATTCTCTGTAAAATATTTTTATTTTATGACAAAAATCCCAGATAGTTAGAAAATTCAGCCATATGAAAGGGTGAAAAATAAAAACCTTAAAAAATAAGAAAAGCAAAAAAAAAAAAACAAGGAAAACTTTTCTTTCAGATTTTTTTTTGTGTAATTTTTTTTTATTATTCATCCTTTCTCATTTTTTTGAAAATTATCGTTTTGTGGCCAAACAAGTTTTCTTTCTGAACAAAAACCAAACCAAGAACACAATAAAAAAAAAAAGAAACGAAGAAATGAAAATTACAAAGAAAACAAAATAGAAAAAAACAAATGTTCTCTTTGAGAATCACTTTAAAAATCTTCACAGTAAAAATGAGAACAACAAATACGACTATGAAAGGCAAAAAAGCCTGTACCATAAAAACAATAAAAAAAAAAAAAACAAAATTCTTCCTTCTTATTTTAAAAAGCACTACAGGCAATGTAATGAAATTCGATAGCACTAAAGGCTAAAAAGGATATAAACAAAAACGACAGCATAGTTGAAAGAGAAACAAACCCTTAACAGCTTTATATACACACTCTTCATACACTACTATACACAGTTACACACCTACAGATAAATTCAATTCAATTCTTTTTTTTTTTCGTATGATTGTATACGGTTTATAAATTATGACAGGATTTTATAAGGTATACAAACAAAAATAAAATCAAATGCTTAATATATAGAAAATCTAAAATCTAAAAATGTAATTATAGGTACCTATAAATGAAAATACATACATGCATATATATATAAAATCCTCTATGGTCCAATAAATTGAAAAGTACATTGTTGACAGCCGAACATAAGCGTGAATATAATAAATTACTGGTTGCATTTCTATGATACCATAGTTAACGTATAAATGTGCATAATTTCATATGTAAGCTTATTCATATAGTTTAGGATACTCTTGTAGTACTTGTACTCGTATAATGAATTCATTATTCATTGACGTTCAAAATTATTTCAAAAGTTACGATGAAAGAAAATAGAAAAGTGACAATAAAATAAATTGATTTAAAAAATGGTCGCCCTTATTTAAAAAGTTGGTACAGTAATTTAATACTCAATTGAATGGGATGGTGAAAATATGAAAGTGAGTGATTTACAGGTTATATTCTCATTTACATTTGTTTGTTTCAATGGTTTACGTATTTGAGATTTTACTTTTTTAATGTTGTTAATAATGAGAAGATCCGATGCATTTATTTAGCACCTTACAATTGTATTATAAAATATGATTTAATACATACAAATTTTGAAATCTGGTTCGGGGAGAGCAGCATAATTATATGTAAAATAAAATTGAAAATTTCACTTTCTATAGGCGTTACTCTATAATTTAAATGAATTCTAATCTTAAAATATCGCAATAAAATAATGCTGACTGGGAATTAAATTCAAAAATTTTAATATTTTAATTTTAAAAATCAAAAGCCGAAAAACTACTGAACATTTAATCTCACAACAAAACAGAAATAATTAAAATAAAAATTTATTCCCTTTACTTTTAAAATTAATTAATGATAATTAGAAAAGGGACTGAACAAAAACTAAAATATTAAACTTTGTAACCTACGCATTTAGTCATTAAATCTAATATTTTAGAGGAAAAAATTTTCTTAAAAAAAATTTTATTCATAAATAGGGGACAGACTAAATTTTATATTATAGACAATTAATTTTATGATACCTTAATTTTCAATAAAAGTTTTTGCAATTAAAACAACACCCAGAATAATTTTAAATAACAACAAAATTAGGGTAGGTGTTATAAAAATTAAAATTTAAATCATCATACTCTCATCAATATTGTAAAAGAGAGAATAATGAAACAAAAGAAAGAAAATATAAGAGAAATAACAAAATTAAGAGATTATTTTAAAAAGCATAATTAAACTATGTATATATGTATGTAAATAGAAATTATCCTTTATATTGTAAGACAATGTTAATCAAAAAGGATAATATTTTTAGGAAATACCAAATTCTTTTAATATCCAAGTAATTTGTTTATTTAATCTTTAAATTTTTGAAGGCTTTTTAAGTATAAAATTAAAAGAATTTGAAATTTTTTTTTTAATAAACGTGTTCCGGTATAAGAAGTAGACTAACTAAAATACCTCAAAGAGAATAAGAATTCTAATTATTAGTATTAAGTATTTTTTGAGTTGTAAGTACAAGACCTAAAAATGTACAACTAAAATTATTAAAATCATTTTCATATTATAATTCGAGAATTCACTATCTCTTTTCCAAATTTTTCTAATTATGATATTGAATAAACTGTTGTTTACAGAAATCTTGCTTGCCGAATTAAAATACATGCCTTTGCGTTTTGGCCTATATATAAAACCATAT